ATTGCTCGTGAGGCGCATTACATCTGCCCACAGCTATGATACTGAATAACGACCACGACCGCTCTGACAAAAGTGATATGACAGCGGAGAAAGAGATCCTTTAAACTAGAAGAAGCGATGTTAGCGCTAAAAAATTGTAGCGTCTGGGGGACGGCGGGATGGATGTAATATGCTCTGCGTAAACCCTGTTTTTAGTGAGGTTCGACTCCCACGTACCCTACCTGCCGTGCGGGTGGGGGATCCCGAGATTTTCCCCTGTGGAAAAAAAAAACTTTGGGACGCCAATATCCTTTGTAAAGCCTCTTATACCATTATTTTGGCATTTTTTATGTTTAATTTGGTCGAAAATTTGAAACATGACATAAAACACCAATAGTATACTTTGAACGGCTCAATCAAACGGTTATTTCTACTAAAATTGAAAGTATCAGAAATGTAGATAGTTAAAATACTGTACGTATATTATGTGCTAAATTAATATTAGTTTATATTTGTGGGTACATTTGTGTTTGTGGGTTTTTTTCAGATGTATAATTTTAATTTGTGCGCTTAGGTGAGCAATCAAGCCCGCGGCTTGTCTTGTATTAAATAAATATTGCATCGTAAGTTCTGCCTCCTAATTTGAGGTATAATGTCGAATAGAACGTAAATTAGATAAGGTCATCCTAATTTTCTAACCAACCAGTCAACTAATAACTAAAAAAATTAATAAAATATTACAATTTTATAACAAAAAATTTAGTTTGTTTTTCAGATAGACTGAATCTTACAGAATAATCTATATAAATCAAGATTAATTCCACAACCAATCCATAATGATAACACTTATTGAATTATATCACATAAGTCCTAAAGTACGATGTGCATTATGTGAATGAAGGAAGCTTTATCAAATTTCTTTTTTTTTTACAGAACTTCCAAATAAGGAACTCAAAATATCTGCAACCGTGGACAAGAACACACCCAGTAAGTTTTTAATAAAATTCTTGATAATTGTGATCAGTTCAGAAAATTACTTCATCTATTGCTATACTGAAAAGTTACCAGTTAAAAACAGGTGAGCTGAATGCTAATCAGCAAACGATGGCAAAAAAATTATAATTAAACCTTCCATATTTAACACCCACAACATACAATTATTATTGTCTTCTGTGTTATTGGGACCGGAAAGACAGATACGGAAGCAGAAAAAAATATATCCGTACTTTACAAAAATACACTATACCGATGTATACCAATAAGATGATTAGAGTGAAAATTAACGCGATTTTATGTAACTATCAGCAGATGGATCTTCATCATCACTAACCGCTGATGCAAGTATCAGCTTTGGAAAATCGAATACAAAAGGAGAAGATGACGATGAAGGTATTTTTTTTATAATTAACTACGGAACGTACTAATTACAATGGACTGAGCTGTAATTGATGCAATTACATATGAAATTTCTAGATTCGACATTGATGTGTTTTTTTCTATCAAAACTGACTTGGGTATTGAAATTCAATACAGATATTTTTCCACGTGCCAATGCTTTGAATGCTCTTTAATATACTTAATATTCAATTACTGTTTCACAATTTCTAGCTCTATTATGCTTCATGACTTAAATCTGAAAGTACTCCAAAGGTTTAATTCAATTACTGGTCCAATTAGTGGTGGTAGGACCTCTTGTGAATACGCGCGGGTGGGTACCACCACCCTGCCAATTTTTGCCGTGAAGCAGTAATGCGTTTCGGCTTGAAGGGTGGGGCAGCCGTTGTAACTATGATTGAGACCTTACAACTTATATCTCAAGGTGGGTGGCGCATTTACGTTGTGGATGTCTATGGACTCCAGTAACCACTTAACACCAGGTGGGCTGTGAGCTCGTCCACCCATCTAATCAATAAAAAAAAAGATTTAAAAATATCCGCATTTTTACATTCCAATTCCGTGAGAAATTAAAATGAATGTAACCGATGGAGCAGTGAAATTTACTGAAATAAAATGCACAAAATCAAAGTTTTACTTTTCCTAATCAGCAAACGGTAGACTGCAATCCTGTATTTGTTTCTGTCCTGAATAAGTATGCCTAAAATTGACGAACATAGATAATGGCAAAGGCATATTATACATATATATTGTTAATGCACTACAACTGCTTCACTGTGTAGATTATGATAACGTGTTTATGTTTTCAGCTGTGTAGATAAAATGCGTCCAATGTCTTCAAAAACCATTAAAAGAGGGCAGATCGATGTCGTAATTGTAACATAAAATATTCTTGTAATACGTTACATTCCGAAAAAGAAGACAATCGCATTATTATGACTAAAGAAATGTTTATTTTTATGTCAATTATTATGATATATATTTATCGATACTTTTATTTTATGTATTATACATAATTATATAATATGTATTTATCTTATCAATTAATGTAATACCATATATAATATAAAACAATACCTGATCTGTCTACATCTACTATACGTAGTTTCTTAGTATCGTGACTATTTTTCTATATTTAATAGTTCACTCACTAATAAGATTTTGCCGCTTATCTTAAAAAATCCTATGGAAAGAATCACCTAATTTCAGCACTGAAATCCATTGATACGCGTGCGTCTCTTTCTTAAATATTTGTATATCTATAATATATATTAAACTGAGAAAAAAAGTGTGTGTGTCCGCTCCGACGCACGACTGGAGTTTACTGGATATAAAAAATTAAACGAAACAATACGAGAAATAGTTCTATATTACGACAACACGATACACTACAGATTATTAACAAATTAACGAGACACAAAACAAACGACTAACAAATATATGAAAATACAATAATGAGAGAAACGCGCGATCAGTACGAGGCTTNAAAAAAAAAAAAAAAAAAAAAAAAAAAAAAAAAAAAAAAAAAAAAAAAAAAAAAAAAAAACTTACGTTGAGATATGAGTTATCAAGTCTCAGTTTTTACCGCACAACAGCTGCCCCACCCTTCAAACTGAAACGCATTACTGCTTCACGGCAAAAATGGGCAAAGTGGTGGTACCTACCCGCGCGGACTCACAAGACGTCCTACCACTATTAATTACGCAAATTATTATTTTGCGGATTTAATTTTTATCACACGATGTTATTCCTTCACCGTGGAACTCATTTGTGAACATTTGTTAAGTACATATTTCATTAGAAAAATTGGTACCTACCGGCGGAATTCGAACACCGGAGCATCGCTAGATACAAATGCACCGGGCGCTTTATCTCTTAAGCCACGACGACTTATTTACTAGGATGTAGTACTACTAGTACTAGGTCCCATTATTCCATCTTTATTCAGAGGCGTTTTGGTCGTGTTTTTATCACAATTGTTGTCAGTACTGATTATGGAATAAACACACCTTTTACTGATATCAAAATTAAATAAACGTATGAAAAGAGCATTAGAAGAAAAAAATATAGTAGCTCTGAAAAAGAAAGTACATAATTCAATTCGGAACAGTGTTTTAAAATGATACAATTTCTACATTTACGGCCCTTATCATTACCAAAACAGGTCTTACGAGCCTCGTATTGGTTAGATAATGTACAAATATTTCACGTTTAGTGTGTAGTTGTTCTATGTATGTTTCATCGTTTGAATGAGGTTCAATGTAGCGTATGGGAGAGATGATCCTGAAATTGTCATTACATAAACATTATATCCGCCATAAGATGAACAGAAAAATCTCTTTTTTTATTGCTCTTGTAGGCAGACGAACATACGGCCCACCTGATGATGGGTTTCTGTCGCCCATGGACTTCAGCAATGCCAGGGGCAGAGCCAAGCCGCTGCCTACCGTTAAGTACTCTCTACAAGCCTCGTTTGAAGAAGGACACGTTACAGCGCTCGGAAAACACCGTGGGGGAGCTCATTCTAAAGCCAGATGGTACGTGGCAAAAAATATCTAAGATGCATTATCAAGTTGATACGTCGTATATCCGTAATATGATGCTAAAAATAGTTGATAAACATAACTGCTGGATACAAGGCTGCTGCTATCTTCGAGGATTAACTGTTTGAAATTGCATTGTATTGCATGTATTGTTTTGATTTAAGTAGTTATCCATTTATTTTAATTCTTCTTAGGAGTCACCAGAACTATCTCCCATCTTGGTTTCCAGACACGAGTAACATAGTAAATGAAAAAAAAAAGAAGTTAATTTAATTATATTTTTGATAAAAATTCGTAGAAGCGGTGTGATAATGTAATGAGTTCAGCATTTTTTTTTCTATAATTGAGTACACACATAAAAATAAAGTGTTTTTATGTGCGTTTCTTAAGTCGTAAAAATGTGCTCCTCCATAAGTTTTCAATTAATTAGTTTTAAAAAAAAGGATATTTACTAAATTTGGAAAATTGTTTTGAATAGGCTATATATATATAAATATACTCGACAGGGTCGTATGCTCATTTGCCATTAATGTTACGAAATCGTTAAATATCGTGATTAAGATATGGTAATATTTTGGTCTACAACGTAAATGCGCCACCCACCGTGAGACATGAGTTCTAAGGTCTCAGTATAGTTACAACGGCTGCGCCACCCTTCAAACCGAAACGCATCACGGCAAAATAGGCAGGGTCGTGGTACCTACCCGTGCGAACTCACAAGAGGTGCCACCACCAGTAAAAACTTTGCTTAATAAAGCTATAGAACATATTATATCTTACAAATCTCAAACGAACCCTTAATTGTACGTAGTTCGAGACGCACTTATATAATAAAAATTAATAAAATCCTAAAATTAGAGAACCAAATGTCAATCAATATCTTAAATGCTACTAAAAACGTTTTAGGCAAGCCATACCGCGACGAAAGTTGTTAAAACTATACGTAGGCTAATTAATTATGTATGATATCTATCAAATAAACACTATTCGGTTTAATTCTGTATAATTCAGGTAAGTGTGGTGCTATAAAAGGTGGTAGTTCTTACCTTGGAGCATTAGAATTATTATAGTTCTGTAGTGACAATGAAGTCACTAATTCTTTTTGTCGCTTTGGCTCATGCCGTCTTCATAATTCATTCAGCTGGTGAGGATTTTCATTTATTTTTGAGTTTTTATTTTTATTTATTTTGTCCTGAAAACTGTGTTAGAAAGGAGCTCAAGCTGTAATTCTTAATTACGTAGATACCTAGTTTCGCCGTCTCAAGACTAAAGATATTGATTTTACATTGAACAGAAAAATATCCTATCCTTTAAACTATCATTTTTTGGACATATCTCCCGGCGAGGAAATTACTCCATAAAACGCCTTGTCGCTTAGGGCAAAGTAGAAGGCACCAGACCGTGTGAAAGGTTGCCGTGCGATGGACCGACCAAGTCAAGTCGGCAGTTGACGTGTTTGCACGAGTGTACCAGACTCACCACAAACCGGGAGAAATGGCGATTGCTCGTGAGGCGCATTACATCTGCCCACAGCAATGATACTGAATAACGACCACGACTGCTCTGACAAAAGTGATACGACAACGGAGAAAGAGATCCTTTAAACTAGAAGAAGCGATGTTAGCGCTAAAAAATTGTAGCGTCTGGGGGACGGCGGGATGGATGTAATATGCTGTTTACCTGTATAAACCCTGTTTTTAGTGAGGTTCGACTCTCACGTACCCTACCTGCCGTGCGGGTGGGGGATCCCGAGATTTTCCCCTGTGGAAAAAAAAAAAACTTTGGGACGCCAATATCCTTTGTAAAGCCTCTTATACCATTATTTTGGCATTTTTTATATTTAATATGGTCGAAAATTTGAAACATGACATAGTCGCATAAAACACCAACAGTATACCTTGAACGGCTCAATCAAACGGTTATTTCTACTAAAATTGAAAGTATCAGAAATGTAGATAGTTAAAATACTGTACGTATGTTATGTGCTAAATTAATATTAGTTTATATTTGTAGGTACATTTGTGTTTGTGGGTTTTTTTCAGATGTATAATTTTAATTTGTGGGCTTAGGTGAGCAATCAAGCCCGCGGCTTGTCTTGTATTAAATAAATATTGCATCGTAAGTTCTGCCTCCTAGTTTGAGGTATAATGTCGAATGGAACGTAAATTAGATAAGGTCATCCTAATTTTCTAACCAACCAGTACTACTAATAACTAAAAATATTAATAAACTATTACAATTTTATAACAAAAAATTTAGTTTGTTTTTAAGATCCACTGAATCTTACAGAATAATCTATAGAAATCAAGATTCATTCCACAACCAATCCATAATGATAATACTTATTGAATTATATCACATAAGTCCTAAAGTACGATGTGCATTATGTGAATGAAGGAAGCTTTATCAAATTTCTTTTTTTTTTCCAGAACTTCCAAATAAGGAACTCAAAATATCTGCAACCGTGGACAAGAACATACCCAGTAAGTTTTTAATAAAATTCTTGATAATTGTGATCAGTTCAGAAAATTACTTCATCTTTTGCTATACTGAAAAGTTACCAGTTAAAAACAGGAGAGCTGAATGCTAGTCAGCAAACGATGGCAAAAAAATTATAATTAAACCTTCCATATTTAACACCCACAACATACAATTGTCTTCTGTGTTATTGGGATCGGAAAGACAGATACAGAAGCAGAAAAAAAAAAAATCCGTACTTAACAAAAATATCCCTGTTCTGCCTCAGTCTCGGCCCGGTTGAACAGTACATTATAGGGTCGCTATACACTATACCGATGTGTAGTATACCAATAAGGTGATTAGAGTGAAAATTAACGCGATTTTATGTAACTATCAGCAGATGGATCTTCATCATCACTAACCGCTGACGCAAGTATCAGCTTCGGAAAATCGAATACAAAAGGAGAAGATGACGATGAAGGTATTTTTTTTATAATTAACTACCGAACGTACTAATTACAATGGACTGAGCTGTAATTGAAGCCATGATGCAATTACATATGAAATTTCTAGATTCGACATTGATGTGTTTTTTTCTATCAAAACTGACTTGGGTATTGAAATTCAATACAGATATTTTTCCACGTGCCAATGCTTTGAATGCTCTTTAATATACTTGATATTCAGTTACTGTTTCACAATTTCTAGCTCTATTATGCTTCGTGACCTAAATCTGAAAGTATTCCAAAGGTTTAATTCAATTACTGGTCCAATTACTGATGGTAGGACCTCTTGTGAATCCGCGCGGGTGGGTACCACCACCCTGCCAATTTCTGCCGTGAAGCAGTAATGCGTTTCGATTTGAAGGGTGGGGCAGCCGTTGTAACTGTGTTTGAGACCTTACAACTTATATCTCAAGATGGGTGGCGCATTTACGTTGTGGATGTCTATGGGCTCCAGTAACCACTTAACACCAGGTGGGCTGTGAGCTCGTCCACCCATCTAATCAATAAAAAAAAATTTAAAAATATCCGCATTTTTGCATTCCAATTCCGTGAGAAATTAAAATGAATGTAACCGATGGAGCAGTGAAATTTACTGAAATAAAATGCACAAAATCAAAGTTTTACTTTTCCTAATCAGCAAATGGTAGACTGCAATCCTGTATTTGTTTCTGTCATGAATAAGTATGCCTAAAATTGACGAACATAGATAATGGCAAAGGCATATTATACATATATATTGTTAATGCACTACAACTGCTTCACTGTGTAGATTATGATAACGTGTTTATGTTTTCAGCTGTGTAGATAAAATGTGTCCAATGTCTTCAAAAACCATTAAAAGAGGGCAGATCGATGTCGTAATTGTAACATAAAACATTCTTGTAATACGTTGCATTCCGAAAAAGAAGACAATCGCATTATTATGACTAAAGAAATGTTTATTTTTATGTCAATTATTATGATATATATTTATTGATACTTTTATTTTATGTATTATACATAATTAAAAAATATGTATTTATCTTATCAATTAATGTAATATCATATATAATATAAAACAATACCTGATCTGTCTACATCTACTATACGTAGTTTCTTAGTATCGTGACTATTTTTCTATATTTAATAGTTCACTCACTATTAAGATTTTGCCGCTTATCTTAAAAAATCCTATGGAAAGAATCACCTAATTTCAGCACTGAAATCCATTGATACGCGCGCGGCTCTTTCTTTAATATTTGTATATCTATAATATATATTAAACTGAGAAAAAATGGCTATAATCAGTTGACTAATAACAAAAATGGCGATTGGTATGATAAAAAGTAAAAAAAATATCAACATTTAAAAGTTGACAATTTGTAGCCCAATGAGAGTCTATTCGCTACAAAAATTAAAGGGGCTCGAGTTAATTACGCATAAAGACAAAAAAGCATAGAAAAAAATATTATTATTATTCTCCCAAAACTGCAGTCCTTACAACAGTACTTAAAAAAAAACAGTTAATATTCAATGATACCACCACTCTAGTCTACCATAGACTAGCGTCTGAAAAAAATTAGGGTAAATGCTCAAGATGTCGCATGCTGTTCTATCTCTACAATGCTTCAGCGCGTACAGCTAAAAAGGACCAGTCCAATATGGTCTCTGAAAAGGTGTAAGACCTTTTTGGTAGTCCAAAGTTTACACTGCGCCATTTCTTTATTAAGCTATAAAATAAAATTTGATGAAGGGTTCGAAATTAACAAACCAAAAAAGAGCATAATTCATGTCCGTCCCAAAAAAATGTTCTTAGACCAATCTTGTGAATTTAATTCGCGCACGAATAAAAAACTACGTTTTCATCACTGTACTATACAAATATACCTCTAGCTTACCTTCGTTGATAGCTTCATTATTAATTTTGTTCCGATTGCAGAATACGAGGGAAGTGATAATGCTGGGAATGATGAATATAAATACAAATTAACCAAGAAGCTCGTAAATAGTTGTCAATATAGTAAGAATTATAAAGACAAAACAAATTATGAAGATTGTGGTTGTAAATATTATGAAAGTGAGGAGGATAACAATGAGTATAAAGGCTATAATAGTGATGAAGATACTTGTGGTTGTCAAGACAATGAAGACGAAGAAGAAGAAGAGGAAGAGTACGAAAGCGAAGAGTTTGAGTCCTCTGAGGAAATTAAAAAGTACAAGTATTCAAAATATAACGACGACAATAGTAACGATAGTGATAATAGTGATGACAGTGATGACAGTGACGACAGCGAAGGTGAGGATTGGAACAAAAAATAATGTACCATATCTTTAAATTGTACACCAGGAAGCGATAATTTTATTGTGTGCCGATTACGAATAATATGATTAAATGTTTATTCTTTCACTATTATGTACACTTCTTCTTCTTCAACCCATGTCCACCGAATACTGAGTGTAGTTCTCCTCGAATGCACACCATTCTCTTCGGTCTCTTGCCTTTCTCATCCAATCTCTGCCAACTACTTTGACCAGTTCATGGATCTACCTCGTCGGGTGTCTGCCCACGTTACGACGTCCAGTACGAGGTCTCCACTACAGTACTTTTGTGCCCCACCGATTGTCAGTGCGGCTGCATTTGTGGCCGGCCCACTTCCACTTTTTCCGAGCAGTCACTTTGGCTATGTCAATCAAACCAGTTTTTCTGCGGATTTCGGTATTGCACATTTTATCCCGTAGAGAAATGCCTAACATAGCCCGTTCCATGGCTCTTTGCGTGACTTGCGTTTTGGTCATAATTTGCTTTGTGAGCGTCCATGTCTCGGCCTCATACACCATCACAGAGAGAACACATTGCTTAAATGTCCGACGCTTCAATTTCATTGGTATATTCCACCTTAGTATGTCAGCCAGCTTATCGAAAGCAGCCCATCCTAACTGTGTGCGGCGCTTTATCTCCCGTTCCTGACTGGTTCTATCGAGACTGATGTTCGTCCTAGGTAAACATGCTCCTCCACTCTCTCTATTTTTTGGCCTTTAGCTTGAATGTGATCCACTCCATCACCACAGCACATCATTTTGGTTTTGAAGATGTTCATTTTAAGGCCAATACGTAGAGAGAAGTCGTAAAGCTCTTCAACCATCACTCTTAAGTGTTTTACACTTTCAGCGAAGAGGATGGTATAATCTACAAATTGAAGGTGAGTCAGATGTTCCCAGTTTATGATAATAATTCTATCGGACCATTCGATAACCTTGGAGATGTCTTCCAAGTAAGACGTAAATTTCCCAAGCAATTTCGGTGATATAATGTCTCTCTGCCGCACCCCTCTCTCCACTTTTACCGGATTAGTCAATTCATGCATCTTTACTTGTAAAGTAGCATCCTGGTAGGCAGATTTTAATACCTCCACATATCTTGTGTCAATTAATTATCTCTGTATTTATTACCACCCAGTACTCGACTGTGTCAAAAGCCATTTCATAATCTATGAAGGCCACTGCCAGAGGACAATTTTATTCGGTGCATTTTTCTACAACTTGTTGTACAGTGTGAATATGATCGATTGTGGAAAACCCGCCGCAAAATTCAGCCTGTTCTACTGGTTGTGCCGAGTCTCATTTGGTAGAAAGGCGCAAAGTAATAGTTTTAGTAAATAATTTGTAAATATGACTCAGCAAAGATATCGGTCGGTAGTTAGTGAGTTTGGTGGTATCTCCTTTCTTATGCAGTAACATAACTAATGCGTTTTTTCAAGGCTCTGGAACCACACCTTCGAAAAGGACTTTATTGAATACTTGCACTTGAAGGTGCTTAAGTGCTCGTGTACCTCCACACTGAAGTTGTGCGTATGTGACTTTCCCTGGTGATTTCCCCTTCTTCATAAGTTTCAGTGCATGTTTAATCTCATATAGACTTATTTCCGGCAGATCTTCCGTTCTGTGTCTTCTTAAGAGGGCTTTTTACTGGTGGTCGGACCTCTTGTGAGTCCGCGCGGGTAGATACCACCACCCTACCTATTTCTGCCGTGAAGCAGCAGTGCGTTTCGGTTTGAAGGGTAGGGCAGCCGTTGTAACTATATTTGAGACCTTAGAACTTATAATCTCAGGATGGGTGGCGTATTTACGTTGTAGATGTCTATGGACTCCAGTAACCACTTAACACCAGGTGGGTTGTGAGCTCGTCCACCCATATAAGCAATAAATAAAAAAATAAAAAACGTGGGTCTTGCTGGGCTACTGTCGGTCCAGGCGTTACGGAGCTATAGAGTTGACCATAGAACTTCTCCACAACTTGGAGTATTTCATCTCGATCTGATGTCACGACATTCCCGTCCGTAGTAAGTTTGTGCATTTGCGGACTGCCACGTTTGAGTTGTTTTCGAAAAACTTTTGGCCCTCTATGGTATTCAATTGTTTCTAGGATCAGTTTATGTTTCTTTTCTCTAAGCTGTTTACGGATTAGGTGTTTAATACTACTATTTATTGTTCCAATTCCTATCTGGTCAGGCGTTCTTGGATAAGTTTTTCAATATGGCTACAGAGAGGTCTATTATTTGCCTTAGGTGTTTTAGTTCTTACTTGTTTAACTGCATTTTGTAAAGAGACTACGATATACTCATTTATGCTATTTACGTATTCAGACTTGAAGTCGTTTTTAAGGTTTTGAATAATTTGCTTTTTAAGATAATCTGACTGGGGAATGTGGGCTATAGTGTTTCGGGTGGACCCAATAAGTTTTTTGCGTTCGAGTTTTAACTTCTATCTTATACGGTTCTTAAAATCCTATGGACACTTCCCGCATCTGCCATGTTTAAGACATCAACACCCTAAATTATATTTCTTCTGTTAGTCGTATATGTACGTCGTGTATGTAGTCGGTTTGGTTTTTAGTTTTCCCATCTGGACTCCTCCACGTCCACAACCTTTGGTCTTTTTTCTGGAAGTAAGTATTCATAGCATACAATTTGTGCTGTTCGAGGTAATTTGCAAGTGCTTGACCTATGGTTCCTTTAGCCTAATCCGAATTTTCCTATGTACTCTTCTGGCTCTTGTCTTCTACCGAGTTTAGCATTGAAGTCTCCGATTAAAGTGTGTGATAACAGGGATTTTCTAACAGTGCCCTGTTAACTTCATCGTAGAAGTCGTTTAGATCTTGATCATCATGTGCCGAAGTTGGTGCCTTTACGCAACTTGTATGACTTTTACAGAGTAAAGTTTATTTAGTCTAAAAGTTGCATAAGCTACTCGGGACGGTATTGCTTCAATCATAAGAAGGTTTTTGGCCATAGAAGTGTTAATAATGAATCCCACACCTCTTGTGATTTATCTTCGTATCTCTTGTAGTAGAAAAGTTGACCTGAAGTCAATTTTATCAGTTGTTCTCCTTTTCGTCTGGTTTCGCTTAGTCCGATAATATCCTATTTAATTTCTAACGTTCTTCCGTAAGCAGGGATCTAATATTATACGTAGCTAATAGATCGGTTTCTTTTTATGACATCCGTATCCTTTCCACCAGGGATTCTTAGCACCCTCTGTCTTGCTGGTGTTCCGACCGCTGTCGTAATCGGCCCAACACGACGACCGGGGACTGAGGGCCTTTTTTTTGTTGTCTGTGCATGAAGGTTATTGGCCTTAACACGCTGGCCGTTGCGGGTTGGCGAGTCCACTTGTTTCAAGGGTATTTAAGTCATTGGGACTGGGTTTTTTTGCAGAGTCCGGGATATTTCACCGCCGCCGGACGCTCGACGTTAACTTTTTAAGGTTGCAAAGGTCACGTCCAACCACCAACTCTCCTCTATTCTCATCCGAGTTTGGGATCGACAACGGCGGACTTTATGTATACGCACTTAGATAAACTATAAATTTTCAGAATTGCTAGATTGTACTACATAGTTAAACTATAAATTTTCAGAATTACTAGATTGTGATTTGTCTTATTTATTTCATCTGTTTTATTTAGATTCAGAAGAATACAAGAAAAAGAAGGATAAAAAAACGAAAGGTACAAAAATGTGTACAAATATTCCATATCTATATTTTTGAATAAGCTTTTTCCATTGAACTTGTTGAACTAGAATAGACATCTTTCATAAAACTCTTATTTATCGTTGTCAGAAAATAAACTTCATATACGACGAATAAAAAAATTACTAAATCAATACGTACATGCATATTATCTTAAAATCTATTTAAATAGCGCCTTAGAATATAAATACACAAAATCCACATCTATTTTAAAATTATATAAACTGGAAAAAAAATGTTTTATAATTATTACCCGTATGCTCTCGTTCTAGTATCATAAGTTATCCATTTTGAATGTATCAAAATAAAAATAAAAGTTTATTTTATTATTTTAACAGCAAACAAATCGGGTAAGTTATACTTCTGTATACTATTTAATAAGCATATTTTACTTATAGTAAAATTTATTAACATTTGTATTAGATTACGAAGAAGATGCCATCATTTGACCGTTAAACTAATTTTGTGATCATATGGCTGAAGTTTTGATATTTGACCAGTGAGGTAGAGTCCACAGAATAGAGAAAATTTACATAATGGTGGTGTACCTAACACGTATTCAGAAACAACTTCCACGCTGGGAATAACATGGTGTGAAAAAATACTAAAGTTTCTAATTTGTTTGTGATCCCACACGGAGAGCTGGCCTCTTCCTCCAGTTAACGAAGCAGACATATGTACGTTGTGGCTTTAAGGGTAACATGGCCGTTATGCAATAGTATTTGAACAATGATATATTTATACAACAATTGAACAATAATATAATAATATATTTATAACATATTTAAACAATAAATTTTGAACAAAACTGGTGGTAGCATTCATGCATTGTGCTCCCAAAATTACATACCTGGTTTGGCTACGAAAGCTAATAATATGTAAGTCAGGTTTATTTGGTTTTATGTGAAACTATTGCAAAACAAAACCTTGATGATTAAATGTTGTATTTGTCCAGAGCTTAAAATCAATTCATATGAATTTTAATTATCACTTCTTACCAGCTGAGCCGTGAGGTCGTTTAAATACCTACAAATGAAAAATCTTCATTACAATCTGAAATCTTCCGCTTGAAATCGGATGATCACATACTTGATGAATATAAAATTGAATTAACAAGTTCTAATTAAATTATTGATAATGAAAAAGATTCAATTCTATTTATTAATCTAGAATTCAAATCAATTCTAGAACTTTTTATAATAATTTAAATCAATCGCTCGTTTTATAGCTTACAATTACTTTATTGATTCCTCTATTCGGAAAGAACTTATAAATTTGATCACTCTACGATTTGATCGTGTTATCTTTTAAATTATAATTACTTATTGACAATACAAAACTTCCTTACGGAACTTGAAGTTCGTACTGTGGAACTTGTCCACTATGGGACTTAAATTTCATACGATTCAAATGTCATAATTTCTGATTTTTAAGATGGGCAACATGCACTTAGTATATAAGGGTATGAAATTAATTTTCATATAACACTTTTTTATAACAGAAGAAGAAAAACCAAAAAAAGATAAAATTGTAAATTTAAAAGAAGAAATCAAAGAAAAAAAGAATGATTTGAAAGAGAAAAAAGAAGAACTCATAGATGCCTTGAAGGAAAAAAAGAAAGATCTGATAAATGATTTAAAAGAGAAAAAAGAAGATCTCAAAGATGATTTGAAAGAGAAAAAAGATGAGCTTAAAGATGTTCTGAAAGAGAAAAAGGAAGATCTCAAAGATGATTTAAAAGAAAAAAAGGACGACCTTAAAGATGTTCTGAAAGAGAAAAAGGAAGATCTCAAAGATGATTTAAAAGAGAAAAAGGATGAACTTAAAGATGTTCTGAAAGAAAAAAAGGAGGCTCTTGATGACATAAAGAGTGATTTGAAAGATAAAAAGGAAGATTCCAAGGAGGAGAAGGAGAAAAAAGAAGGAGATCCTGAGGTAATAACCTTTTAATCAACGTCCCCAATCTGAGCTATCAATAGATAATTTTTAAATAACTGTTTATTTTATGTCCATGATTCATTTCAATGTCCACAATATCATTTCAACACAACACTTCCCAAAATCATGTAGGAGGGCTAAAACATAAGACAACAAGTTTAGATACACAATAATACTATTTATAATAATAGGTGGGACCTGAGTTAGTTTGATCATGCTTTATTTTGTTTGTTCTAGCCCTCCTCGGGATAGGTGCTGGAAAGGAAGCCAAAAAGAAGTCGAAAGGCGAAGCCCTGGATTTCTGAAACAATTAAATTCAATTTAATGTACATTGGTTGGTTTATCAATAAATTCAATTCAAACTATATAGATTTTGATTATTTTTTTCTCCAATTTCAAATTGACGAAAGCAATAGAATATTAAAACATTCATCGTTAAGAAAAAACCGTTTCAATTTCAAAGAGCCTAGGGTTATTCATAAATTTAAGCATAAAGGCATAAAGGTTTTTTCATTAAACTATAAAAGACGTTTGAAATGTACTCAATATAAATTTTACATTATTTCTGTAGAACAACAATAAATATTTTAAAATTTTACAGAGGATAAACATAATATGTTTCATATAAACAAAATAATTTAGCCAATCTCCTTTTATTGAATTAAATTTATCAAAGGATTGTTCCTTAATCTTAGTCGACAAAAATATATGAACATTTTATGGTAAATATAAAATAATATGATATCTGTTTTCAGTGCGTATTTTTTTAATACGTAAAAATTCATTTTTAATTGAAGCGTAAAGTTCTTAGAGTTAGTTATATTTATTAAATAGATAGACACTCAATATCTAATGAATTAATAATTTTCATCATTCATCGACTGAAAAGTGTTAAGTCAGAATTATATATATAGATTATAACAAACGGAGTCTTTACGATTTTATGACACTTTATCGAGCAATAGGCACGAGAACTGCAGAGCAGATTCTGAATTAGAGATTAAACTGAATTCAATTAAAAATCCTAGACTTAGGAAATTTTATCCTATAAGGTAAATAATATATAGCATGCTGAATTTCAAAGATATATAGATTTAAAGCAATTCATTAGAATACAGCAGAAGCCCAGTACAAGTTTATCATTAAGCTGGTACTCACGTACTTTTGGCGCTTCTTAAAATTTTAGAATTACATAAAATAAAAGCTACATTGAAATAAAAAAATCCATATTACACGGAGTTTTTGTTTCCAACTACGGTATAATTTTGGTCATTGAATGTGTTATTGTTAATAATTTATCCTAAAGTTCATTTCCAATGATTCAACGAGGAGCACAGCTACTTAGATTATAAAATTAATTTTATTAAAAAATAAATCATCTTCTTGAAACTTTATCTTCATTACCAAAAACTTAAATCTTTATCTCTTCCGACTTTTAAATTATCTATTGATAGTTACCTAACTAATATGTTTAGGAATTTGTCTTCTAAATAAACGACCTAGCATTAAACTGTTTTAAGTATAATCTGAAGATCAAGGAATATGTTAAATAGCCTGAGGCTCTGCTAGTGAATCGAATACCGAGGTTCTACCGAGTTTTCAGAACCTTGCTTTAACAACTGACACAGGCGCAAACTTATTGGTGGAAAATAGAAATATACGTATTTAATCAAGTATTTACCTGAATATCTTCACTGTAAAAGCTGTAAATAAATACCAAATAAATACAACATTAAACTGGCGGGATACGGACTTTACAAAAGGTAATGCATCTAAATAGCTATGTTTTATTGCCATACAAAATAACGAAAAAAATTTAAGCCTTGCTGAACACAAACTAGACTCCGGACCCAATTATTAAACTGAGTTACACAAGCCACACGTATAATTATTATCAACTGAATGCCTCTGTACACCGAGACTGGTCAAAGAAGTATTTGAAATATCCAAATATAAAAACTTCAATGCCCTCGTTTCAAGTTATGAAAGGGATGAAACCCGGATTAGATTATGAAAAAAATACAATTTGTTTTCGAAGTGCACAAAATGTGTATGAAATCTTCAAGGGCGTTATAATATCTGTAAATATTATGGGGGCAAGTCATCGAGTGCCAGTGGTAGTACCCAAAGAGCGAAGCAGAAAGATGGTAGACCAAGCTATCTATTCTTATATCTAAATATATGATCGTGGTATTTGCAACAACGCTGAAATATCAGAAATTGACTAAAATTGATAATAATGATCAATCCTAGTAAAGAATAAAAAAATATCAACATTAGAGACCTTCGTATCATAGACATCACATAACATTACCTTTTTAAGGTTAATTCGCTTGGTTAATTCGCTTCAAATTGGATTGGATTGGGCAATTTCCTACTTTCCAAAGTTCAATGCACGTCCTCGTTTACTATAACTCGTTTACAGTGGTGCTCCTTGCTAAAGTTTTGAATTTTAAAAAAAAAGCGCGATTTAAATTGTGCAATTCAAATGGCCTCTCAGAGATCTATTATTACAATATTATTTAATACAACCAAATATCTAATAATGGGTTAATAGATTAAATGCCCATTTTAGCCTTAGCGTTCCCAAAAAAGTTGAAATCAATCAGAAAGCTGTCGCTGGTAAAACATAAAGCTATATCAATTCTACAGCAATGGATGTGACGACCGCGCCCACGAGTGGAATACGAACAATATTCCTGATTTGCCTATGAATATTTTCGCTCAGATATAACCTTAATCATGACTGACACAATAATATGATACATTACAAATAGATTCTGCAATATTCGTTACTTCCACTAGTATACCCTAATTAACATAGATGAAAAGAATAGATTAATTTTATTGCTTACTTGCTACTTTATATTTTTCACTTGCTTACTTCATTGCCTATCTACATTGATTAGGCAAATTTATTAATTTTGCGAATTTGATCTTTATTACCACACAGTTTTTCTTCATAATCGTTGTCATTTATGAACACATGCTAAATATGTATTTCCTTGGATAAATTGGTAGGGTTCTGCGAGATTTGAACATAAGCACAGTCGCCTCATCCGACACGAATACACCATCTTATTCTTTAGGCCACATTCGAATACTTATGTCAAGTACTATCAAACATGAAAAATCGGTGACAAAAAGTTGATTCGACAAAATTTGTAGATCTAGGCCTATTGTCAAACTATCTAAAATATCCACTCAAATACTAACTTATATCATGCTACAGCCAGTATAGTCTTTAAGTGATAAAAATTTAGGGACACATCCATTTCATTGGCTACAAAGCTGTAATTGTAAAATGTAATTTTTACTCAAGTTAAATTACTGATGAAAAAGACTGAATAAGATAATAATATGAAAGCAACATTAAAATGTCTACTTTCTTCCTGCAGCATATCCTAGGACTACATCAAATTCGAGAACCACATTGAAGCCAAGAGGCAAGTTTGGTTTTTTTATTCGTACTTTTTTATCAGTTTCGTTTAGTCTATAATAATTATTCTTCTGATTAAGATATATATGATTAAAATATTTTAGCTCCTACAATATCAACGTCATCAAGGGCTACTAAAATAAAAGCAACAGTAAGAACAAAGTGTAAGTTCTAGTCTTAATTCCGATTAAAAAAATAAATTAAATCAAAAAGGAAATGACCAAGAAAAAGATTGGCAGATTAGCCCACGGCCCATCTGGTGTTAATTTTTTTTTGTTGTTGCTTAGATGTGTGGACGAGCTCACCGCCCACCTGGTGTTAAGTGGTTACCAGAGCCCATAAACATCTACAACGTAAATGCCGCCACCCACCTTGAGGCATGAGTTCTAAGATCTCACTTTAACAGTACGATGGCTGCCTCGCCCTTCAAACCGAAACGCATTACTGCTTCACGGCAGAAATAGGCAGGGTGGTGGCACCTACCCGTGCGGACTCACAAGACGTCCCACCGCCAATAATGTTCAGCGGTTGTATGAGATCGAAATCTCAATTGTAATGGTAAACTCTGTGCCACTTGTAAAACAGAGTGCATGTTTACGTCGTAACAGAAATGGGCCGGTAGTAGTACTTACGCGTGAAGTTACAAAATACGCCCCAATCAACAAAGTTTATAGATGTATGTAAATGATATATACATACAAAATCTACCACGTCGACGAGCTTGAACAAACTACTTCGGGTTTAGTAAATATTGAATTAATACTTTCGATATGTTTGATTTTAGTAACTACTCCAACTACGCCAAAATTTACAACGATAAGAATTGAGCCCAGTACGACAGGTAAGTTTTAGTTTTTTGCCATTTCGCTATATTTCATGATACTCAATTGAAACTTGGGTTTGTTTGATTTTAGTAACTACGTCAACCACACCACAACCTACAATAGCAACAACTATGCGCAGTACAAGAGGTAAGTTTTGTTCTGTCAGTCGAACCTAAGATTTTACGTAGAGACGGTGATTTTTAAGGGATTCGTCACAGCGGACCTACCTAATTATATCTGAACCATTACCACTAGGTTTCTGTAGTGGGGTACGCAGCAGAGCTGTGAACTATTCAATTATGATTTATGACACGAAAATCTCCCTAAGAAATATCGCATTTACGTCCTCGTTAATAAATTTATCATTATTTAAAGTATATCTCGATACCCGATAGTTGTTTAAATATGTTACTTTATACAATGGATTATAAATACATAAATTTAAGTATAGACGAGCTATTTTTCCTCGAGTTCTTTGTAAAACCGGTGGTAGAGATACAAGTATATATTATCCAAACTCCGAAGCAATTGAATTATCACGAAAAAGATTCGCAAAATTTAGGCACATAAGGCATAATGATTCTTCGTTGTTTTCATAGCTGCTACAACTACTTATTCACCACCAACTGCTCAAAGAACAACGTCGTTATCACAAAGTGAGTATCGAATGGCCGCCAAAGTATTTTTTTAAGAAATATATTAAAAAACACCTCTTATATTATTTTAAGTAACTACAATAACTACGACACCTGGACCCACTACTGAAAAAGCTACTCCGAGTATGGAAGGTAATTTCTTTATTTTATTACAGACTACGTATTTTGTACACTATTANACTGCTCAAAGAACAACGTCGTTATCACAAAGTGAGTATCGAATGGCCGCCAAAGTATTTTTTTAAGAAATATATTAAAAAACACCTCTTATATTATTTTAAGTAACTACAATAACTACGACACCTGGACCCACTACTGAAAAAGCTACTCCGAGTATGGAAGGTAATTTCTTTATTTTATTACAGACTACGTATTTTGTACACTATTATTACCGTAGATTGATTAATATCTATCATCAACGTCTATTTTACAGACGTTACTGATTTGTTTGCAGTATGAGTTACACTTGTTACGTAATCTTCATCTATATCCATCCATACATTTATCATAATAGTGTATTGAAATTAATTTTCACTAACTTAAGAGGTGGGATATTTGAACACATAACAAGAAGCGATGACAATATATTTATAACATAATTACTTTGTCCTAATACCTTAACCAACCAGGTTAAAAAAAAAGCTTCCTAATTCGTCTTGCTGTTTAAGTTTATTTTAAGCGTTTAAAGTATTTTCTTATATTACATGAAAAGTTTATTGCTACAGTGTGCGTTAATTTATGAATATAATTTTGTGGGGGCTTCATTTTACCAAAAAATTATGAAGTTCTTTCAAAGTAATTTCTCTGTCACTGACATTTGAGTTTTTTTTCGTAGTGATAGGTGGTTGGTCGTTACAATGGTGTGGTGAATCATGAAATATATAAGACTCATTAAGATAACACAAACATTCGAACAATGCGATCTTCGTCCAAAATCGGCCTGTATCATTATTATTAGATAAATGACACTAAACGTAAAACGCAATTCACAATATTAAAATATGTAAAATGTAAAATGAATAGTTAGATTGACGGCCCTGATGACCTATGGTTACCATATCGGCTTTCATCTGCTGACACGCAAAATGAACGTTGCCGCCCCCAGCAGGATAATGGTTCCAATCAGTTCAGCTACAACGCACCCCATAAGGAGCCCTTGGTCTACTGTCAGTTCTTCTTTAGTAGCTACAATATCTATGACGTTGATTCGAATTATTTCGTAGATATTGTAGTTACTGGAGAATTATCTGAACTACTACGGACGGACTTCAATCTTCAAATGGTAATTTTTTAAAGATTTACAGATAATAATCTAACTCTCTCAATTTCCCAAAAATTTTACACCATCTTTGTGATTGCAATACGTTCAGGTTTCAGTATTACATTTATGATATAGAAATGTTATATACTGCCATGGCATGATTATAGAGATATAGTTTCCGTGTTAACATTGATGTACAGTAGGTCTCTAAGCATATTAAGAGGCCCAACGGTGTCATTAAATTTTAAGTACCTGGAGGTTTTGATGTCGATGGAACTGACAATGTTTATACAGACAGGGGTGTTCAATAAAAAGTGATAATGAGTATGACGCAATTATCTTTTATGAATTCATTTATTTCAGGTTTATACGCGTTGTATATTTATTCGGAAGCCAAAATTCCCACTTAAAAAAAAGCTTCCTAACCCCTAAAAATTGTACCGCGGAGAATACAATTTTTTTTAAGTTACCCTTATTGTGGACTAGTAGGCGGCCCACCTGATGATTGCCGTCGCTCTTGGACGTCAACATTGTCAGGGGCAGAGTCAAGCCGCTGCCTACCCTCCACAAGCATCTTATAATTAATGGCCCCTAAGATGTACCTTTAATCGCAAAAATAGGTATTAATCACTAGGATCCGGTAATTATGGAGGATGTTCTATCAATTCGTAGCCAGATTCTTGAATGGCAGCCATCGCAACTCTGGACTTATCTTAGTGAAACAAAACAACTTCGTGAGTTTGCCACGCCGTTGCTTGCGTATTTCCTTACGCAACTTGGTTATTTGTCCTACGATAAAAGTTCCCGTAATAGCTACTCCATGATTAAGGTATTCGCTCATTATCACCCCTTGGCCGAAAAAAAACAGCCTATGATCTTACCGACAGGTGGAATGGCCTTAAATTTCTTTAGAGTTGGAGATGACGGTCTCTTCCCAGTCATGGACTAGGTATGTGGGACTGCTTCGCAGATGTTGGAGGTGGATGGTGGGCCCAAGGGATGGAATTTAGACTCCTACCCACTAAGCGATTTCCCTACCCTCTCGCCCAAGCGTCGGATCTCCCCGAGGCTAGAACCTGGGTGGGGTAAGCGGGGTTACTGCGCTCAACACATTAAACAAACTGCGTAGCACACCCCAAGGACGCCCGGCCGATGGAAGCAAGGCGAATTGAGGCCTCTGCAACGTCAGTCATCTCGATACGGTAGCCTGACGTACCCAGACGTGCCGCTGGTATTCCGGAATATCCCGCTAGTCCAGAATTAATATGTCGGGTCGGGACGCGATAAACCGCCAACCGGTTGCTCTTTTTCACGACAACAGTGTTTCTCCTTGGCAGCTAGGGTGTTTGTAGCGCACCGCGCGGCTTCGACCCACTCAGATCATCCTGTGACCTTCACCGGCGGGAGGCCACCGCCTACAGGGGTCGAGACGTACGCTCGTACTCTGTCCTCCGGCTCCCGATTCGATGGCTACGTATCCGTGCGGAGAGGGAAGAGATGTCCCTCTTTCGTTCGGTCGCCTCTTTCTGGGAGATGACATTGCCTTATCAGGACTTTGCCTGCCAGTGTTTATTTATTTCCTTTCCAAAAAGAATGCATCGCATTCTTTATGCAGNGGCCACCGCCTACAGGGGTCGAGACGTACGCTCGTACTCTGTCCTCCGGCTCCCGATTCGATGGCTACGTATCCGTGCGGAGAGGGAAGAGATGTCCCTCTTTCGTTCGGTCGCCTCTTTCTGGGAGATGACATTGCCTTATCAGGACTTTGCCTGCCAGTGTTTATTTATTTCCTTTCCAAAAAGAATGCATCGCATTCTTTATGCAGATCTTTTACCTTACTACTACTATTCTACAGAATTCTATAGGCTATCTAACGGTTGGCTTAAAATTAATCGTAGTACGCTGCACCTGGACACATTTGCGATAAAAATGTACAAAAACTTGTAAGACCTACAAGTTTACTTAAACGGAACCTTACTGAGTATCAATGGATGAATACATTGGAAATTGAAAGCACTTTACGAATTATTCTCTTTTATTACTAATTAAAATGTGGCATTTAAAAAAAAATATGTTCAGAACAAATAAAGATTAACGTTACAAATAGCTGTTTTTTCTTTTTCTTTACAAGATAGTAAGTCAATAACTACTTTTATGCAGACATCGACAAGATCTTCAATTACGAAAGGCAAGTTGAATTTACTTACTAATTTTATTTGAACTGCTCAAAGACTATTTGTTTCTTAGATGGGTGTGCGAGCTCATACCTCACTATGGTGTCAAATTATTACCGTGTGTGCCGCCACCCAAATTGCAAAATGTTTTTTTCTTCCTACCTATGCTGATAGCCTTGAGAGGCTATTTCAGCTTCTCCTTCACGTGTAGGTGAGCTCACGGGACTCAAGCCGGAGTGTTGCTAGCACTAGCGCTAGCAAGAGCACCCAAACTCAATCAGTGGGCTGTGGAGCAAAATTAATTCTAAGTCTCAGTTTCATAGTACAACAGCAACCACGCCCTACAAACTGAAACCCATTACTGCTTTGCGGCAGAAATAAACAGCGGCTGTGTTGGTACTTACCCGTGGAGACTCAAAAGACGCCTTAAGTAACCAGTATAAACAAAATATTTTTTGCGAGAATCATTTTTATTGCGCGATGTTATTCCTTCATCGTGGAAGCCATTCCAAAACATATGATTAGTAAGTATTTGATGAGATAAAGTTCTTCGAATGATCAACGTATTTTTGGTTAGTAATAAATAATGGAACATTATAATGAAATTAATTATTGATATAAAGCAACTGCCGAATAGAAAAACAAGTAAAACCTGTCACGAATACATCAACTACAAATCAAAGTGGTAAGTTTCCATCAAAACGTTGAAAATTTTCGTCTAGTTAATGATTTAGTGTAATATAAAAGCTCTCTTTTGTTATAGCATCTGCCACATCCAGGACAGATAAATCTGTAACGGACAAACCTACTTCAGATCCAAGTGGTAAGTTTCCATTAAAAGGTTGACAAATAACGTCTATATAATGATAGAGTGTCATGTAATCGCTTTCTTTTATTATAGCATCTGCCGCATGGACGACCGATACATTTGTAACGGATAAACCTACTTCAGATCCAAGTGGTAAGTTTCCATAAAAAGGTTGACAATTACCGTCTATGTAATGATAGAGTGTCATGTAATCGCTTTCTTTTATTATAGCATCTGCGGCATCGACGACCGATACATCTGTAACGGATAAACCTACTTCAGATCCAAGTGGTAAGTTTGCATAAAAACTTGAACAATTACCGTCTATGTAATGATAGAGTGTAATGTAATCGCTTTCTTTTGTGATAGCATCTGCCGCATCCACAACAGACAAATCTGTAACGGATAAACCGACTTCAGATCCAAGTGGTAAGTTTCCATTAATATGTTGACAAATGCCGTCTTACTAATGATACAGGGTAATGTAAACGCTCTCTTTTGTGATAGCATCTGCCGCATCGACGACCGATACATCTGTAACGGATAAACCTACTTCAGATCCAAGGGGTAATTTTCCATTAATATGTTGACAATTACCGTCTATGTAACGATACAGGGTAATGTAAACGCTCTCTTTTGTTATAGCATCTGCTGCATCCACAACAGACAAATCTGTAACGGATAAACCGACTTCAGATCCAAGTGGTAAGTTTCCATTAAAAGGTTGACAATTACCGTCTATGTAATGATACAGGGTAATGTAACCGCTCTCTTTTGTTATAGCATCTGCCGCATCCACGACAGACAAATCTGTAACGGATAAACCTACTTCAGATCCAAGTGGTAAGTTTCCATTAATATGTTGACAAATGCCGTCTTACTAATGATACAGGGTAATGTAAACGCTCTCTTTTGTTACAGCATCTGCCGCATCCACGACAGACAAATCTGTAACGGATAAACCTACTTCAGATCCAAGTGGTAAGTTTCCATAAAAACTTGAACAAATACCGTCTTAGTAATCATACAGTGTAATGTATTCGCTTTCTTTTGTTATAGCATCTGCCGCATCGACGACCGATACATCTGTAACGGATAAACCTACTTCAGATCCAAGTGGTAAGTTTCCATAAAAAGGTTGACAATTACCGTCTATGTAATAATACGTTTACTGA